ATCAATTGATAAAATTAAAAAAAAAATCTAATTAGAAAGAATAAAAATTCAAACAAGTAGCAATCAAAAAATTAAATATCAAATTTAATGGAAACACTAAATGAAACGAAATAATAAAGAATGGAATTGAAGAAAAAAATCAATAAAAAATAAAATAAATAGCCATTAAAATAATAAAAATTAAATAGAATAACAAAATATAAAATAACAAAATAAAAAATAATACAGAGATATCTTAGCAAATAGAATTTTTTAAAAAAAAAAGATATAAGAAAATGAAAAGGCCTTCAATGCCCAACCATTTTTTCTTGGGTACACTTATGTACAAAGAAAAGGCAGGGCATGACACTTTCAATGCTGTCCTCAAAAGACTGTGTATGAAAATGAAACACTCCACGCGCGTTGTCTGCATGTTTGCATATGTATTGTTTATGCTAATAATGTTTTTAAAATAATATTTATATTTATCCAAAAACATCTCCAGTAAACTTGTTAAAAACTGAAAAAATCAATTGAAAAGTAAAGAAAAACCTAGGGGTGTGAGCTTGACGAAATTTACTTTTAAGGGTAATATAATTTTCATATTGTGCTTTCAAAATATAAAAAGAATGGATTATCTCATATCATATTTTAAAATAGATTTTGCTTGTATGGACAATATAATTTTTATACTATGCATGCAAAAAATAAAAATAAAAATACTGATACTAAATTGTTCTTAATCAACCTTTTAGAAAAATCTGGTTTTAAAGGTAATGTTGTCTTTACATTTAAAACATAAACAAATAAATTATTATTTATTAATCTCATAATAACTAATGTCGATGTAAAAAATATCATATTACTCCTAATAATAAGATCATTGATTTTTTTTGTTTCAAGGATGAGTGGTAATTCCAGTATTATAGTGAATAGTGATATGAATTTCTGCATGGTAGTCATTTTTTTTTTTAATGAGACATTTATCATAATGAAAACGACATCAAATACCACCACATAACTCATACAAACTTATTACAGTAGTTGTTTATTTGTTGTCTTCTCTGATAGAAAAAATCAAAAGAAGGTTCGAGATAGTTTTTTATATACTAGCAATCAACAAAAAAATAAAATAAAAAATAAGGGAATTTTAATATACATGTTCTTACATACCACCATTCATAGAAATGATATTTTGTTTTTTTTTTTCTTCTTTTTTTTTTAATTTGAACTGTATCCATCAACACTAGATTTATCAAGAATCAAGTTTCATATAATTTTTTAATTTATTTTTATGTTATTATTTTAGTTTTATAATTTAAACGGTAAGTTTAAAAGATTGAACATGGTTTTCTTTTCTTTTCCTTGTTAGTTTATTTTATTAATAAATTTATTATTTAACATTGAATTGATTAAAAATATAATTTTATGATTTATTTTAACTTACTTCTTACGAGATTATTTTTATTTAATGACTTAAATCATGAGTTGATTTTTTATATTTTTAATGTTAGATTAACTGAAAATTAAACTTTCAGATATGAATTAACCTTGATATACTTTTTTTTTTCACTGTCAAAATCCTAAAGCTTGACAAAACTTAAGTAAATGATATGTAGAAAATGAATATAAACAAAATTAATCTCTTGATAAATTAAACTATAAATATAAACAAAATTAATCCCTGGATAAATTAAACTTTATGTAAATAACTTGATAAATTCGACTCTATATTCACTGCATCTGGACAGTTTTATCTAGATGCTCTCAATTCTCAGTAAAAAACCTAAACTTGTTGATAAAGAACACACACATATATACACATGCAACCGTTTTTATTAAAATGCCCTACCTTAATTAATTTATAATAAAATTGTTCTTAGAAATTACTCGTCCAAAGCCCCACACCCCATGCTGCATATCTAGTAAAAATAGGAAGAGAAGGAACCTAAGTTTAATTTCAAGATCCTCGTTAAAAAAATTTATTTTCCTCTATTGACCTGATTTTTAATTTTTTTTCAAGAAGCATGAGTATTGAGTTGAGTTATCTAAATATAACGAGTATGTGATAGAATTCCCTATGCCGTGGTATTTTTTTTTTATTAGTACTAAAATAAGGTATTTCCATTATTTTTTAAAGCATTGATAATATGAATTATTATTTTAGAAATTCTTACTTTATTAGACTCGTACTTGAAATCGAATCCGTGGTCACAGATATGATTGCTCTTGCATGGAAACTATAGATAGAAAAATTGTACTGGTTGTGTGAAATTTTTCTCGACAAAAACAAATAAACAAAAATTATAATTTATGATTCAAAATTTATATTACAATTAAAAATATATTAAAATAATATTTCTATATTATAATTTTATTTTTAATTTTCACAGTGGGGTATTAAGATTATAAAAAAATATAAAAAATATCATTCAATACTTTTTGTATAAAAATAGTCTTTAAAAAACGATTTAATTCAAATGACCAAAAATAATTACTGAATTATAGTTATTAAACTTGATATAGAAATTAATTTGGTTAAGGAGTCGGGTTTTGGGTTACATTAATTGATTTTGGTTAATTTTTAAAAAACATATTTAATATTTTACTTAAAATAATTAAGAAAAAAACCTTACATGTTACAAGTAATAAAATGTTACAAGTAATAAAATTTTAAAAATTATTTTACTCCAGGCTAAAAAAATATTATATTCTCTCCTTTTTAAGTTGGATAACTATGTTAAGTTGGATAACTATGTGCATGGTATTAAAAGAAACCAAAAAAGCATTTGCTTTCACTGTAGCGACATAATTATTCACCTTGAATTTATAATTTGATTATTGAATTTTAATTTTTTATATAATTTAGTTATTCTAAACTTGAATTAGTATTCAATTGCATATTTTTACATGAAGGAGGGTTGAATCGAAAAACAAATGGATAAAATGAAAACAAATTAAAATAAGTGGCAGCTATTAAATTTGTCTGAAAATTTAATTTTACTCTCCCGTCGTTTTGAGCCTTTACATAACTAGCTCCTTTAATTTTCAAAAGCGAGGGACTCATCGAATTCTATTGTAAAAAGAAAAAAATATTATTATTGACAATTTTAACCACCAAAATAATTAATTTTTATGTTAAATAATTCTATATTACAAGAGGAGTTTAAAACTAGTGTTTTTTGTAATGTAAGAGTTCTTTAAAAAACATATATAAGTCTGGAAATATTTTTGGTTTCTGATTAATTTTGGTTTGTAAAGTGTCTATTTTTTTTTTTTTTGTGTTTGGAGGCCATGCATTGATTTAACTAAAAAAAAAAGGATAAAGTGAAAACAAATTAAAATAAGCAGCAGCTATTAAATTTGTCTGAAAATTTAATTTTACTTTCCCGTTGTTTTGAGCCTTTACATAAGCAGCTTCTTTAATTTCAAAAGGGAGGGACTCACCAAATTCTATTGTAAAAAGAGAAAATAATTATTATTGACAATTCTAACTACCAAAATAATTAATTTTCATGTCAAATAATTCTATATTACAAGAGGAGTTTAAAATTGGTGTTTTTTTTAATGCAAAAGTGCTTATAAAAACATAAATGAGTTTGGAAATATTTTTGATTTCGGATTAATTTTGGTTTTTGAAGTGTCTATTTTTTTTTCTTATGTCTAGAGGCCATGCATTGATTTAACAAATCTCCTGGTATATTTTCTATGTGTTTTGCGTCAACAATAGGTTGAAAATAGTTTTTTAGGTGAAAAAACATAAATTTTGATTTTTTAGCCACCACAATAATTAAAAATTCAAAAGATCTTGGTATTGTACCATCTATTTTGTTTTTTTAAGAAATTAAGGTGAATGACATATTATTCGTACTATTAAATTTTTTTAAAAAAACTAAAGGCTCCTATAAGGGTTGTTTATTGATAGGCCAAGTGCTTGGCATGACTTACTAGACCCAACAGTACTTGACTTCATTCATTTTAAAAAAATTATTTTTTTAATTAATATATTTTTTACATGTATTTTTTAAAAATAATTTTAAAGATTATATTTTAATTAATATCATTTTTATGTGATTTTTTTTGCTTATTTATCATTTTCTAAATAATAGTTATTTTTTTTAATTACACCAGTGTGTTTAATTTTCGAATAGGTTAATATGATTTATCAATATTTTTTTATTACATTTTACATAGATTCAATTTATTTTTTAAATAAAAAATGCTTATCTTTTTATAATATCCTTAACATGTACAACATTGTATAGTATTATTTTTTTCATTTTATTCTATTCAATAAATTTTATTTGTGTGTGAAATTTTATTACAAATTAATTTTAATAAAAAATTTATTAAAGGTATTTGGGTAAATAATTATAGTTGCAATATTAAATATTTTAATTTATTATTTTTTTTTCAATCAAATTATCTCAATTTTATAATTTAAAATGTATAATTAAACATGTAATATTGACATATTTGATGTCAAGATTATGAATTTTATTTGTTAGCCTCCTTTTATTAAGGGAAATATTTTTTTATTTATTGTTGTTATTTTATTTTTTCAATTATATTATTAAATCAGCAAGGATTTAACTTTTCTATTAAATTTTTATTATTTTTTTAATAATCATTTTCTAAACTATTTTTAAGATAAATTTTTTTGATTTGGATCACAATATCACATAAATCATCAATTCAGGATTGATTGAGTATTATTATAATATTTTTTTAAAGTAATTTTTATTTTAAAATATATTAAAATAATATAAAAATAAAAAAATATTTTTTAATCTTCTAAAAATATACTTTTAAAATATAAAAAAATATACTACTAGTGACACTAAAATGCGAGGCAAATAATTAAATAAGATTTAATGTTTTTGAAAAAATAAAGTGATGAAGAAAGAGAATGAAAACAAAACTAGGACCAGGTGGCAAGTGTCGGTGAAGTTTCCAAGACAAGGACATCACATGGGTTTTACAAGCTACAAAGAAAGTAGACCAAGCTGTCCTTTTGTGACGCAGTCCGTCAGTTAGTGCATTAACGCGGAGCGGATTCAAAAGAAAGAAAATTCAATTAATTCTTCAAATTTCTCTCCCCTTTTAATATCCAAGTCTCAAAAGTTTAAGTTTCAGCAACTACAAGTAGTGTTATCGTGGGAGTAGCTTCCCTGTTACCTTGCATCTTTTTTGGCTAAAAAAAACTGAAACCCCTCGTGTCCTTTCCCTGTATCTCGCTTCTTTCTCATTCTTCCTGTCTCTTTTCTTCATATTTAGTATATTATATCCTGTTCCTTTTTTTTTCTTCTTACATTGATAGATAAATAGATATAGCTCATTTTGACTGCTTTTGTCTGCATCGGATCTGGGGTTTTCTCGCTTTCTCTTCAAGGTATTTCTTATCCAATCCCCTTCTTTTCATGGTTTATTAAAAGAAAAAAAATGGATGGGTGGTTTGAGTTTGTGCATTTGATCCATCATTTGCAATGTATTGATTGGTTTTTGTGAAATTGATTTTTGCTTCAAAATTTCTTGTTCCTTTCTTTATTTGTCACGCTTAATGGGTTCTATGTTTACTATGAAGTTTTAAGCTAGTTACATGGGTGCTTTTTTGTTTGTTTGTCTGTTTTGTGAAGGAATGTTAATGTCATGTTATTTGTTTTGCCCTTTTTTTTAAAAAAAAAATTATGCAGACTTTGAGGACTGAAGCGAAGGCTCTAGTTTTTGGTCCGTTACTGCATTTGGGACATGGCTAATTTTTTATTTCATTAATCAAAATGCAGGGTTTTGATAATTTTTGTGATTAATTTTTAGATTGGCATTCTGGATTTCTGAAGAAGGAGATAAAGGTTGAGACTTTATCAGTGAAAAGGCAACACTGGCGTGAAAAGCAAGTAGTTTGCCATTGTTGGAGACTTCGCATGTCTTCATTTGCCAGTTGTAACCGGAAAGTTTTGTTTATTTGATGAAGTTGGGTATCTTTATTGCCATTGCTCGCCGTGCTTTATAATTTATTGTGTAAATAGGTCAATTTTCTATAATAGGTCAATATCTTTTTAGTGGTCTTGGCCTTGTGAATCTATTTAGGGCTTTAATTGTTTGGAGTCTGAGGTGAAAACAAAGAGATCGGACTGGCTTTGTTTATTGGACATGGACCATATAGCTCCAAGAGATAGAGATTTCGAGGTTGATCTTGAAAGTGGGGTGAGAAATATCGTAGAAGATTTAAATGAAGATGCAAGTTTGGGAGTAAAAACACCAACAAAGTCGCTGCTCGTCAAGGTTTGTGGGGCATTTTCTGATGGGAAAGCCAATGGTGAAGAGAGGGTAAATTTGTGTGGAAATGTGTCAAATCCTGGTGTTGGTTCTGCAGACCATGCGAAGTTGGAGGGAGAAATGTCTGTTGATCAAGTAGAAAAGAAAATAGTAGAGGAGAAGCGTAAAAAGACGAGCAATAAAAAGCCTCCCAGGCCTCCACGAGGTCCGTCATTGGATGCTGCTGACCAGAAGCTGATCAAGGAGAGTTCTGAACTAGCCATGTTGAAGCGTGCAAGGATTGAGCGAATGAAGGCCTTGAAGAAAGTGAAAGCCACAAAGGCATCATCAAATAGCAATCTATTTGCCATGGTGTTCACCATTCTATTCTGCCTAGTGATTCTCTTTCAAGGTAATAAGTCTCATGCAAGATTTTCTCACAGTATTGCTGCTTTGGTTTTTAACCTATGCGTCATTCCACGGTTTGGATACAAATGTTTTGTGGGTGGGGACTTATGCATGCCTTATGGTTGAATTCCCCAATCATTCATAACTATACTTTTGAATTCTTTGAACTGGAAAGCCTGCATTTCCCCCCCCTATTGTCCATCTTCAGCACATGTTTTTTTTGCTATAGCTCGCTCCATATAGTTTCTTTCTTAAGAGTGTTTATTTGTGAAAAGGTGGGTAGACTTCTGAATTTTGATTCTAGTATACTGTTGGTCTTATTCTGAAACAGGTTTTTTAAATTCTTGTCGAGAGTTTATAATTTATGTTTATTTGTGAAAAGGTGGGTAGACTCTGAATTTTGATTCTAGTACACTGTTGGTCTTATTCTGAAACAGGTATTTTAAATTCTTGTCGAGAGTTTATAATTTTAGCTATATGTGAGAAGAGTTCTAGTTTTCAAAATGGCTTTGAATCATGTTTTAGTGATGTCCATCCATTTTCTTTTTCCTGCTTCCTCTAATTTTTTGTATATGATTTTTTGGGGCTTTTGGCAAAAGATGATTAAATCCCAGGCTCTCTCTTTTTTCCTCTCAATCCTTCTTTTCTTGGTTTATCATGTCTTTAACGATCCCTTTTATCTGTGCTTCTCATAATGTTTAACAGTTGTAAAATGATACTTTTGCCTGGCTGCCATTGCAAATTGCAATTCATTTTTTGAGAGGAAGTTTCATCGAACATTATACCTAATAATTTTTAGCAAGTGGTCATTCCCAGACAGAAATCACTGTTGGCATTTTTTTTATAAACTTTTTTATTCATTTTACTAACTTATGCTCTTAATGCCATGCTATTCATTTTGCAGGAATGTCATCCAGAGCTACATCTACAAACTCACTGGGTTCTCCTATGTCGTCAGAGGCAGCAGACGATGGTTTGATTTCAGTTCAATACTTTGGGAATCCATCTTCAAGCGAGTCTAATGGACCTGGGTCTGGATCTCCAAAGTATGTCACAGTGTGATACAGCAGGACTAATCTTCTGTTATATCATACCCTTTATTTTGCAAGTACATGTGCATTCTGCTCTAGTCATGTGGGTGTTAATATTATGTGATGGTCTAGCACAATAATTCTCTATTTTATTGATACATTGCAGCTTCATAGAATCAGTTGCTGGTTCAGATCCTCCTAAAAATCCAAGAAGAGCTGTGAGATGAGCATGGCAAAGGAGACAGTCACCATAGTCAAGTTTGTATTGGTGAAAGAAATTTATCCAGTCTTGCAGTTCTCATGCAAGCCATATGACTTGCACTTTTTGTATCAATAGCCCTCCAAAATCGAAGATTGTCTGGTAAGTTATCCCCGGCTTGTATAGTGCTTGAAATGGGGTGAGTTAGATTACTGAAGTTTATTGTGGATAATCGGGACAAAGAAGTTTAGTTCTGCCTTTGATAGGCTGAGCCAGTTCTGATAAGCTGCCTCCTTACTGTATAAGACTCCAGAATGAAACTACGGGAGATTTGTTTGCCACCTGATTTGCTAGATTAATTAATATTTTTTATTTTTTTTGTTAATTTTTTTTAAAGATATTATTTTAATATATTTTTAATTAAAAATATTATATAATATAGAACCATAACGACGTTTGAATAATACCCTTTTTTTTATTCTCCAACCACTTTGAGGTATTTTTTATCATCATTTTTTCCAACTTTCATGTTCTTAGATCAAACTCTTTCATGACCGAGTTATAGGTAACGCCCACGCTTTGAGCTTGTGTTTTTCAAAAAAAAATCCTTTATTCAACCTTTTCTTATTTTCCAAATGATAATAATATTTGATATTACGGTATTTGTTTTTTAATTTTTTTATTTATAAGTATATTAAAATATTTTTTTATTTTAATTTTTTTAAATTAACAACAAGACTATTCAAAAACAGAAGAAAAAATAAATTTTAAATAAAAAAAAACTCCGAAACAAACACGCTAAATCTAATCGACGTGACATCTAAATCTTGACCATGTTCTGAAGGGCAAGTGGTATACAGTTCATGGCCTCCAGTTGTTTCTTTATCTTTCCAGGCCATGAGCTGTCTCCTTTGTTTTTACGAGAAGCGTGCCACAAATGGCCTCTCTGGAATGATCTAAGCTGGGCAATAGCACTAGCTCGGAATGATGCTCTTGCAATTTCGCTGCCCAGGCACAAAAAAGTAAAAATAAAAAAACTGTACCTCTTGCGATGCAAACAAGTTTGGACCACGTGTTAAAAAACCAAAAAAGAATTCGGGCCAATGACGATAATAGATCATCCATCGCCGCGTTTAATTTAGAATAATTCAAAATACTCCGCCGCAATAACCAAATTTCAAAACGAGCCAGTACCTGAGTAAGCAGCAGTTGGTTCGTGGATTGGAATCTCGAATTCACAACGCCAACGCGAATCCCCTTCTATTTTCATCTCGACATTCTTAAACTCCTAAAGCAATCACGGCAAGTTCACTTGGGGAATCAATACAATAAGACCTAGAGCACAAGGTCCGAACTTTTGTTTTGTAATTTTTATATTTTAAAAGTATTTGTTAAAAAAATTAAAATTTTTAAAATTAATATATTTTTAATATTTTTATATCATTTTGATATGCTGATATTAAAAATAATTTTTTTTAAAATAAAAATACTTTAAAAAATAATCACAACTACATTTCCAAACACCTAAAAAAAAACCCTCTAAATCCATACAAGTTTAAATTAAAAAAATAAATTCATGAGTCTGGTGTATAATCTATAAAAAAGGTTGAAATATAATTTTTAAAATAACATAATATTAAATGTTTTTTTTTTTAAATAAGTTTTTTAAAAGATAAAAATTGAAAAAAAATTGTATAATATTTTGCAAGTGTGTGATTAGGCGACAGCTTTTAATGTTCTGTTAATAATAATGTTAATGTTAATTAATCTTTTATTCTTCTTATTCAAGCAGAGACAATATCACTTAAATTGTTGTTTTAATTAATTAACTGCCACGACATGTTATCTGGTTATAATTAACTCGCGAACTTCTGTTTAATAAAAAATATTAATTGAAAATATATAAAATATTTCACATAAAATGCATTTCAAACTTAATTTTTTAATAAATTTCATGGCACAAAATATAATTTAATTTATTATCAAATATTTTAATAAGTTTACTGTACCGAAAACACAAAATCAGTTATAAGACAAACGAAGCCACTTAACAATGGCGGAAGGAAAAGGACCAAAAACATGAAATCACGCTGAGGACGACGTTTTAGGCAAATTAATCTCTATAATATCTGCAAAAATATACAGATAAGCGTACGCGATTAAATGGAATGTCATATTAATCTCTCTATTCACTGCAGATTGAAGATTTTTTAACGTAACGAGAGTGGAATTGTATTTTATTAACAACTGGCAATCTCAATGAACTTATCATTGACATTCTTCCAGGGAAAAGGAACGAAGATGTTGAGGACACCTTTGGAGAAGAAGATGAGGAGGAAGACAACCGTATATCAAAAAAATTAATTTAATTAAATAATTTAAAATATTAGATGAAATTTTAAGATATAATTTATAATATATTTTACTGTGTGAAAATTTTAAAGGTTTAAAACTTGTATAAATTTATATTTAATTTTTATTAAATAAATAAAAATTGTAAAATTTAAATTTTAGACTTCTTAATCTTTAAAATTTTAATATCATATTAAATAATTAATTCAACCCAATACTTAATAATTTAATTTATCAAATAAATTTTTAAAATATAATTTATATTATTCTTTAAAATTAAAAAAATAACATTTCTATTCAATTACCGCTTCTTCATCTGGATAGTAAATAATTATTAATGATCTCGCTGCTTAATTTTTGTTGCTTGTTGAATAAATGGAGTTCTCTGAACTAGTCATCAGTTTGTATAGTTTTCATTTGATTTCCTAATCAAAACAAGTAAGCAAGACTATAATCACTTGAAGTTTAAGTTGATAAATGATGTTTTAAAATATAATTTATTTTATTTTTTAATTAATTTTTTTTACTTAAAACTTGTATTGTACTGATTTATATTACATTGTATTTTATTTTTATTAAATAAATAAAAATAATAGGATTCAAATTTATAACTGATTAATTATTAAAACTCTAATATTATATTAAAAAATTATTTTACCTATAAATTTAAATTATTAAATAAAATATTAAAATATATTTTATATTATTTTCTAATATACACTCGAGTAATGAGTAACTAGTTTATGTTTATTGTTAAAAACCCTTAAAATAAAAACAAGACGAAAGTTGCAGAGAAAAGCTAACAACTCTGTAATTTTATTCAATGGTTTATCCTATTAAAATAAGGTTTAAATAAGAAAGAATATAATCATTAAACAAACTCAGAATATTCAAAATGTATATATAAAAATAGGAAATCCATAACTTCTGAACATGAGCTATGCGAGTTTGTTTTGCAGATCAAATCATAAAAATAACAATAAACAAGACTGAAAGTATGCATTCATAGTGGATTATGATCTAGAAAACAGGTTCTAATGACTTCACGGGACCTCTGAATTAGCCTTTAGATTGATAAAATCGGATATTTGGATTAAAAAAATGGCTTCAGACATTGCACGCCAGTAAAAATAACAGCACTTAATACTGAATTAGCAAATGTGAAGACCCGTTTAACTTAGCAATCAGAAAAAGAGGCAACTTATTATTTCAAATTGTAATTGTTTCTCCTACTTTCTTTCTTTCTTTTTTTGTTCTTTATCTTTCCGCTGTTCAAATCAATCATGGCACCATGGCGTTTCGAAGCGAAGCAAGGACAGAACATGGATAGCAGCAAATCCTGTGCAGCTGGAGACATTTGAAATGCTTAGTGCTAACAGTGTTGTTTCAATTGATCTCAGATGCTTGGATTTCGAAGGAGTTCAATGCTCAATTCCAATTCCAATTCCAACATGAATAAGTATTTCTTATTAATCCACTCTCGAATACTGTTGGGATTTACTGCACTAACCAATCAAATAGTTTTGTTTCATGTAAACTTACGAGCACCTAAATTTGAGTCATTGTGCTAAGAATCAAGGTGAAACCAAACTTCATCCTGTCACATGAGGCACCTGGGTTGTTGTCATGCTTACAAGAATAAGGTGAGGCGAGATTTAATCTGGTAATTAATGAGACATAAATCTAAAACCCATGCCTAAACTCACAGAAACTAGGGCTTGTCAGCAATCATCGAGTCCAATTAAAAACAAAGTAGTCAACTTTAACATGGCGATCAAGTGATGCTGGGGAATGGATAATCAAATTGAATCAAGCATATGAACATCAGACCATAAAAGAAAACACAAAAAAAGAAGTAATTGTAGTCCACTATGACAACGTAACTAGAAACTATGAGAAGATTGAGATAAAAAAAATCTACAAGTTCTCAAACTTCGTCTCTAACTTACCAGTCATGTATATTCGTGCAATAAAAGAATTCAGAGAGATGAACCAGGCTGATTACTTAATCCTCCTCAGAGAGTGCAGCCACAGAATACAAAGAAGTAGCAAAGCATAGCAGTTAAAGCCACGGACTCCAGCACCGTAACAAAGGTCCACAACACATCATCAATAGCAAAATCCAACCACCTCAAGCTCTCTAGAGTCAACCTTGTTGTGAAATACGAGAAATCAAATTCCGGCCACCGAAGAATAGATGATGATGGCATAGAGAATCCGAACTCCGGCCACCTGAAAATGGATGCATACCACATAGGACGCATATCCCTGTACCAGGGCAATCTCCTACTTCAATTGAAAAGGGTGCTGGAATTTTCCCACAAGTAGTGCCAGGCGGTGGGGTGGTATATTTATAAATTGTTGGTGGGATATTTTTTTTTTTGGCTTTTTAAAAGGGTTTTCCTTAATGTGGCATGCGATAAATGCTAAAAGACCAGGTGTTGCACCAATTATTAACTCGGAGCCAGCGACTTTGCTGTTAGATGGTCATCTACTCTTAAGAATGCGACACGAAACAAATGAGACCACGAAATATTAATTAATCACTATTCCATGGTCGTTTCATTAATATCTACTAGTCAGGCTGACACACGTGCACGATTTGGATTTATCCTTTTCTTTTATCTATTTATATATATGATTTATATTTAAAATGATATTGTGAAGACTTCAACAAATAACTCTAAAGCAAATATAAAACTATTATCCTACGATTACAGTTTCTTAACAAGCAGGGAGCCATCACCACTGACTTTAATTTTATGGTAAAATAAAAAGAGTCCAGCTCTTTATCGTCAGTGAACAAGTTTTTTTGTTAGAGAAGTAATTGCTGAAATGGGAATGAGCTGTCATCGTCTTTCCTTCTCCGCTGATATAAAATTTATATATTTTTGAATTATTTTAGACGCTATTTTAATATATTTCTAAATAAAATATATGATTTTATACGCTATATTTTAATATATTTCTAAATACAATATATTTTTAAAAGTAGAGTTTTAGAA